ACACCTGAGTATGATCTTGGAGGAACATCAGACAAACTGAGATTGTGGGCAGTCTGCCATGCCTGTAATCTTCAAAAGTGTCAAGGTTATAAAGGTCAAGGGAAGACTGAGGAGCTATTACAGATTGAAGAAAATAGATAAGTGAACTAAGGTTAACACTTGATTCTGAGCTGGAACCTTTTGCTATTGAAGATATTTTGGGAACAGCCAGGAAAACTTGAATTTAGGGTTGAGGATTAGATGTTAATAGTATACTCATGTTAATTTTCTGATTTTTAAATGGTTATGTTGTGGTGTGAAATGAAAGTATAAATGAGTGATGAGCCATCAAGTTGCTGACTTACTTAGTGGTTCATGAAAATGTTCTGTGTGCTAGACTTGCACTTTTTCTGTAAATTGGTAATTGTTTCAAAATAAAAATGAAAAAAGCAATTATATTTCTTTTATGTTTTTTTTGGTGAGGAAAATTAGCCCTTAGCTAACATCTGTTGCCAATCCTCCTCTTTTTGCTGAGGAAGATTGGCTCTGGGCTAACATCCATTCCCGTCTTCCTCTACTTTATATGGGACGACGCCACAGCATGGCTTGATAAGCGGTGCCTCGGTCTGTGCCCAGGATCCAAACCCTTGAACCCCGGGCCACCGAAGTGGAGCACGCGAGCTTAACTGCTACACCACTGGGCTGGCCCCCAATTATATTTCTATATACTAGCGTCAAACAACTAGAAAATAAAATTTTAACGTATCTTATACAGTATAACTTTTTTTTAAAAAAAAAAACAAAATACTTGGGAATAAATTTGCTCTGTACATTATAATACATTGCTGAGAGAAATTAAAGAAAACCTGATTAATAGAGACACTATATTCAAGGGTTGGAAAACTCAATATTGTTAACATGTCAGTTCTCTGTAAATTGAACAATAGATGCAAAACTGTCTAAATCAAAATCTAAGCAGGATTTTTTTGTAGAGATTGATGAGCTTACTCTAAAATTCCTGTGCAAATACAAAGGAACTAGAATAGCCCATCCAGTCTTAAAGAAGGAGAACGAATGTGGAAGGCTTAAATTATCTGATTTCAAACTTACTATAAGGTTACAGTAGTCGAGACAGTATAGTATGAGACATATAGATCAGTGGAATAGAATAGAGACTCCAGAAATAGACCCACGCTTATGTGGTCATTTGGTTTTTGACACATGTGCCAAAGCAATTCAATGGGGAAAGGAGTCAAATGGTGCTGGAACAACTGGATGTCTGTATGGAAAAAAGTGAATCTCAGCCCTTACTTTGCTCTATACACAAATATTAATTTGAAACAGACCTAAACATAAAAGTTAAACATATAAAGCTTTTAGAAGAAATCATAAGAGAATATCTTTATAACTTTGGGGTAGGCGAAGACTCCTCAAGACACTAACCAAAAAAAAAGAAGAAGAAAGTTGAACTAATCAAAATTAAATATTTTCTGCTCATCAAGAGGCACTTGTGGGCTGGCCCTGTGGCTTAGTGGTTAAGTGCGCGCGCTCCACTACTGGCAGCCCGGGTTCAGATCCAGGCGCGCACCGATGCACCGCTTCTCCGGCCATGCTGAGGCCGCGTCCCACATACAGCCACTAGAAGGATGTGCAACTATGACATACAACTATCTACTGGGGCTTTGGGGAAAAAAAAAAGGAGGAGGATTGGCAATAGATGTTAGCTCAGAGCCGGTCTTCCTCAGCAAAAAGAGGAGGATTAGCATGGATGTTAGCTCAGGGCTGATCTTCCTCACAAAAAAAAAAAAACAAAAAGAAAGAGGCACTTGTAAGGAAATTCAAGGCAAACCACAGATTCAGAGATAATATTTTCCATACATACACCTGACAAAGGATTTGTGTCCACAATATACAAGAATGCCTTCAAATTAATAATTTAAAAAAGAACCAGCTCTCTCCTGGAATGGGAGTGTGAGGAGCTCCGTGGACCTGCTTTCTAGGGAATCAACCAATTAATAAGTAGTAAAAGTTATTTAAAAAAATTTTTTAAATCTCTGGAAGTTGGCCTGTGGGTGGGTGTATAGCAAATGAAGAAACATTTGTTCAAGAAAATCTACTAAATCGCAGTAAGAACAGCAAAAGTGGGTGGCACTTGAGCCATGACCTGCTACCTGTGTGACAGAAGCACCATTTGGGTAGGTGTGCCCAGGACGATGGGGCTCCCTCTCCTCTCAGGTCCCAGTTAAGGGATGCGGTGTCTCACGAGGAGATTGCAGGCCACCAGCGTTTCCCATCCATCCAGCTCCGTGTTATATAGGCTACACTCCTGGCAAATGTGGCTGAGAAGTTGGGAGCTCCCTTCCTCCACCCAGCCCCCACTCAAAGGGCAGAAGCTTTATTTCAGGTGTGGCAGGTTGAGAAGATGGAGCTCTGATGCCCTCACCCCACTTTATTTGTAGAGTGGAGGTTCCATGGTGGTAGAGGCAAGCTGAGAAGACCAGAGACTACTGTCCTCACCCAGCACCCTGCTAATAAAGCAGGAGTGTCACTCCAAGAGAAGTGGGCCACTGTCCTCCTCCCAGCTCCAGGGCAATGGCTCAGAGATTTCCCCAGAGGGAGAGGTAGTTCATAAGAACAGAGAGCTGTGGAGTTCTTACCAAAAAAACTGACTTTATTTTTATTTACATAAATATTCAATAAGCCATGGAAAGATGCTAAATATCATTATTATTCAGAAAAATGCAAATTAAAGCCATAATTAGATACCACTACATGCCAGACAGAACAACTAAAATTATAATGACTGAGAGCATCAAGTGCTTACCTTATAGAAATTCCCACTAACCTCAATCCTTGCCATTGATTATAGCACTTACCCCATAATGACACTCCAGGTACCACACCTCCTGCTGTTATAGCCCCTGGCAGCCTCCGTATCTACTTTGCCACTGTTAACTACCTGGACCACTGGATGGAGTTAGCTGTTCACCTTGTAAAGTATGCAGCCATGTACCTACGAATAAAACATATTTGTTATGAAAGTCAAGTCATCACCTTGGGCTGCTAGTCTATTCCAAAAGTAGGAAGTAGGTTACTTGATGTTGTTTTAGGTTTGTCTTCTTAGCTTTGTAGTTACTTTTTCTCAGTATCCCCAGAAAATGGAAAATAAAGCATTGTCTATGTTCCAAGCAACAATAATCCATAGTAGTTATTATTCCCATTGTACAGATAAAGAACAAGCTCAGAGAGACTTAATTTGCTCAATGCAGGACACAGTGGAGCCATTGTCTAGCCCAGGTCTATTGATTACAAAGCCCACATCCTTTGGACCATATCAGATTGCCTCAAAGACAGGAGTACGTTGGATTTTTTTTTTTTAACGCACTTGCATTAGAGTTTCTAAGTGATTTTTTCAGAGACTCTAATGTTTATTCCAATGTAAAGAATTTTTTCAATTAATAATGCAGTAAGCATCTATTGAGTGCATACTGCATGCAGGAACTATATTGGGTTTGTAGAGATGAATACATTGATCCTGACTTTGAAAACCTCGGTTTGATAGAGAAAGCAAGTATGCAAATAAACATTTTCAATACAGCAAGATAGTTGTAGTGATAGAAGTCTTCAATAAGTACAAAGGTTAACGTAAAAGGAAGTGATCAACTCTGCTGGAGTGGTTAGTGAAGATGAGATAATTGAGTAGGACATTCAAGGATGTGTAGGAGTTGGTCAGCTGACCTATGGGTGCCTATTTCTGTGTCATGGCTAACTGTGGACACCATTTGTGCATAAACATCAGTATTAGATTTTAGTAAATAACTACTTAAAGGTAGGAAAAATTCATTGTTAGTTTGCAGGGATGCTATGTTCCTTTACACCTTTTTAATAATTAGCTTTGTGTTAAGATATAATTAAAACCTCTTGGCAAAATACAGAAGCTTTAGAAGGGCGATGCTTTTTGCTGGCATGCACTGTGTAAAATACATTGCAAAACAACCAGCTATTAGAGTTCTTTCATTCTGTTGCATCTGCTTTTTGGAATTTCAAGTTAAATGGTCAAGATAAAACAAAAATTTGTGAGTTTGTGCAGATTTTGCTTGTTCTTTTATCAAATTGTGGTAAACTTGACAAGTGAATATGCTTGGTATACATGCTTTCAAATTTTTTAGGAGAAAAGCTTTCAACATTTCTGACTATTTTCTAGGTGTACATTGTTTCTGAGAAACAAATATTGTGTGTTGATGTAGCAATGGTTAGTTTCTGATGAAACTATTGTCAGTTTATCAGTAAATGTCTTACAGCCAATTACGAACATCATTGTGTTTTTTAAAAATTATTATTAAGCTCCCTAATTTATTTCTCACTGTAGCCTTTTGTGTTTCATTATTCCTCTTGGGATAAATAGGGCAGATTGAAAGGGAAATGGGAATCTTCTGGTTTCAGGTGTTTGAATTAGGCCGTGTTGTGCTACTTTTACTTTTGAGCTATGTCGAGCAATAAGAAGGCTACCTGCTGCCTAATATACATTTTTGGAAGGGTACATAGACAGTTCTGGAAAATAGGGAATCTGCTTAAAATAGTGACTGGCAGCTATTGCAAAGGAAAGCCTGGGATTTTTGTGTTTTGTTCTCTTCATTTTTTGTTTTAGTTACATCGTGGCTGATGTTTTGGTACTCCACAGCAAGTTAAGTATTCTGTGCTGATGGCAGAGGCTTCTGATATGCTGTGTTTGAGGAAATGTAATTAAATATATGCAGATTTCGTGTAATAGTTTTAATGGCAATGCTCTATGCAAATTCATTTGATTGTGGTTTAGGATAGTCATTATCTTACGAAACTGTATTACTATATGAATTTAGTCATATATTCTATATGAAACTGTATACTATATAGTAAGAGTTGTACAAAAAATAATATATTAAAATCAGGGCCTTATGGTTAATCCAAAGCAATTAAAAGGGAATACTTCCTTTAGTTTATGAACGTAAGTCAAAGAAAGAAAAAATATATTTCATTTTTAGATTATATAAATGGTGGAGAGCTTTTTACTCATCTTTCTCAAAGAGAGCGTTTCACAGAGCCCGAGGTGCAGATCTACGTGGGAGAGATCGTGCTTGCGCTCGAACACCTCCACAAGGTAAGAGGCTGGATCTTTGGGATTTCTCTTTTTGAAAAGTCTGTTAACTGGGTAATGATGGGGCTAAAAGAGCTAATGTTTTTACACGTCATTGTCTTAGTGGAGATGGTGAAAGCACACTTACAGACTGTTACCAGTTTTCTTAGTTTCATCGTTCCCTTTTTAAAAAGCTGCTTTCCTTTTGCAGTTCCTGTGGTGTAGATCAAAAAGGTAGAACCTGAGCAATTTTTTGGTTTTGTTCATGCAAAATCCTAATGCTTATTACAAAGTATCTTTAGAATAAAAGCTTTTCATTCTTAAAATAGCCTGTAAGATGAAACCACAAATCGTAATGTCTATTTCCTTAACTGTGACTTACTCCACTGCAGAATCTGCCTGCCCGTCTTCAGGTGTATTTCCTGATTAGGTTGGAGAAGATGCGTTGTTTGAAAGAAGCGCCTACCTGCGTTACCCAGCTATCCTCCCACTCTGGCTCTCTCTTCCATTTTTTTTTGGTCACTGAGGCCCTGTCTTGCTCCCTTTCCCTTCCTCCTCCTCTATTGCCTCCATGTAGTAGGAACTCAGTTACTAAAGACTTTAAATGGAATTCACGTCTGTGATGCTGTTTGAACTCTATAATATCAGTTTAAACTTTTTAAAAAATATTATTTCTGATACTATTAATTTTGATCTGAAAACTTTTGACTAAAAAAAATTTTTTTTAACGTAATGAGGAAGCATTATTGTGGAAGCAAACAATCATTATATAAACTAGACTTGTGTGTATTTCCTTAGAAATGGAAAATGCTAGAGTAATTTTACCGAAGGGGTCTGACACCATAAGGAGACCAGCATGACTTTGGTCATAAATTAGGATGACACAGGTACATCATAAAGCCTCTATTCTTCTTTGTCATGTATTCAGATCCTACACTAGATTACAGATAAACAGAGATCAAAGTGCTGATTATGGAGCATAGAAAAGAATGGAGGGGTTGACCTGGTGGCGTGGTGGTTAAGTTCGCACGCTCCCCTTCAGCGGCCCAGGGTTCACATGTTCGAATCCCAGGCACAGACGGATGCACTGCTCATCAGGCCCTGCTGTGGTGGCATCCCACATGCAAAGTGGAGAAAGATGGGCACAGATGTTAGCTTAGTGACAATCTTCCTCAAGAAAAAAGAGGAGGATTGGCAACAGATGTTAGCTCAGGGCCAATCTTCCTCACCAAAAATAGAAAAGAACAGAATAGAGAGAACTGAAGGAAAAAGGCAAGGAAGAAGGATGAAGTTTTTATAGGGGCAGGGAGATCAGAATTGCAAGATGGAGGCAATGGATGGGAGAGACTGTGAGAAAAGATGGTAAGATAGAAGAAAAGAAGGAAGGCATCAAGAAAAGGGTAGACCTAGCCCAGAACAGAAACAAGACTGGGCAGGTGGAGGGAGATGGGGTTTGGAATAAGAATCTTATGCGGAGTGAATGAAAAATGTGTAAGAGCAGGAGAGAAACAGAAAAGGCCGAGGGGACAGGGCTGCAATGCCATGGAGAGAAAGGAAAGAGGAGCAGTAAGGTAGGGAGCTGTGCTGAAGGGGTAGGAGTAGACAGCTGGATTCCTTTTGGTAGAATTGTCGTTGTGGTGATGAGCTTCATGCCTATGATCATTTTTGTGGGATATGAAGTAGTTAGGACCTCTCCGTACGTGAACCAAATTGGGCCCAGGACTAGGCTGAAAAAATCTTTGAGTTTTATGGATAGGGGTGTTAGATGTAATTTTTTATAATATAAAACGTAGTGGAAATCACCCTAAACACCAGAGTAAAAACAAATAAAATACAGAGCTCTGACGGGTAAGCTAGTAAATTTAGCTTTTAATTTGTCTGAAAGTCTTAATTCTGTTAATTCTGTTTATTAAAGGAAAATCCATGAACATTCATTGTTATTAAAACAAGGTAATCAGAAACATTATATAAATGTAATTGACATGGAGTGACAGTTATATAGCAAATCAGAGCTCAGCTAAGTTTCTCTTAATCTTACTACCCTAAAAAGATAAATACAAAGAAGTATAACACAAAGCCAGTAATATTAATTTTGATATAGTTACTAACACTGAGTTTCCCAGGAAGAGACAAAAATGGGAGTTTACTTGGAAGTGATGAGGTAAAGCAGATGGTAAATGATTTATTCCTAAAATCTTTTCCAGAGAGGTTGTTAAAAAAAAAAAAATGTCCTACTGGTTAGATGCTTATAATGCTTCAAGTCAGATATCTGTGCAGTAGGCTGTAGATGTTATCCTTCCTCTCTTTCTTGTGGGGCACTCCAGTTCTTGGGAGAAAATTGCCTAGTATTTTTCCTTGTGTAATTTTTTATTTCAGTCTTAAGATTATTAACAGTCTGCTTTCTCATACACTTAGTGTTGAGGAAAGCAGTGTTTCTACGTTTACAAACGTTTAATTCAGGCTGACATAACATGAAACATGGAATTCACATATATCAAGAACTTCTTATATGACTTGGGTAGATTTATTTATGTTATACAGCTAAAGTAATAGCTGAAGTATTTTGCTATAAAACTTACATGCAGAACAAAATGGAAGGATATATAAATATTACCTAATTGATTTACTTTGCTCATTTAGAACTAAAGATCAACTAAAATTAAATTACAGTCTTCAGCCTTTATGTTTAGGAGCCTATTATTCAACAAGCCTTTATTAATGACCTATTTGACACACGACACCATGCTAGATACTAGATAAATGCATAAAAAGTGAAAAACAGAGTTAGCCTATGGTTATATCAAGACAAATAGGAAATACCTAGAAAATATCAGTTATTTTTAGGTAAGTACAATGTGAATATAAGTGCTGTAGGAATACAAACAAGAAAATGAGCAGTGTGGGATCCTGTGAGTCAGCAAAGCCTTCTGGACCCGTTGGGAAGGGACGGACATGAGTTGACTAAGAAAGCACCTGAAGGTCATCCGGAGTGAGGATGACATATACCAAGAAGAATAGGGACAGGAAGAAGCAGTCGTCGGCAGAGAGACCATACAGAAGCTGGCCAACAGGAATGGACCCTCACTGTATAGGGAATGAAGACATGATTAGAGAGGTCCGGGGAGCCCAGCAGACGAACCCCCAGTGGAGGAATTTACATTTGCCCTGGCCAGTGACTAAGAGCAGGAGAATGCCTTTTTTTGGTTTATTTTTAAGGTAGATAAGAAAGATTTTCCTAATTTATTTTTTAGAAATTATTTTAAAATGCATATTTGTTTGTTTTCACAGTTGGGGATTATATACCGTGACATTAAGCTTGAGAATATTCTACTTGATTCTAATGGCCATGTGGTGCTGACAGATTTTGGTCTGAGTAAGGAGTTTGTGGCTGATGAAGTGAGTATTATATTTTAATTTGAAGTTAGTAATAAGAGAATGTAAACAATGATGAAAAATTAGCTATAGAATAAGCATTTAAGGGGATAGTACCATATGGATTATGGATTTCTGTGCAGGTTTGCGGGGAGGAACATTTTGACATGAATGACTGTAAAGATTTTTAGTTTAAAATGACCATGGAACCATCCTGTTAGAGTTGCAGTAAACTTTTAATGGATATATCAGAATTCCACAGTTTAAAACAAAACTATGCATTAACTTTCCCCATAAAATGTAACTGAAAAATTTAAATAACCCTTTGGTGCCTTTAGGAGAGTTATGGCTTAGATGGTAGCCAATAGAGAATTACAAAACAAAGCACATACAGTTTACATTGTAATTACAAAGTAGGTCATGTCATGATGGCCCTTTGAATTCACTGGGCGAGAATGACAAGGATCTACTAGACCTAATTCTTTAATAATCTTGCTGTCATTTTAGTGCATATGAGCAAAAAAAAAACAGGATTATTATTTTTGTAGTAAAGAACTATAGTAAAAATTTTTTGTAGTAAAATTTTTTTTGTAGTAAAGTAAAATTTTTGTGGTAAAGGACTTTGTTGTTATAAAACACATCATTCTTGAGTTCCAAATTAGGTGTATCTATTTCAGATTATTTGCTTTTTGAAATATTGTCAAAGCAGTCCTAGGTGAATTAGATAAGTGCCAAAATTATTAAAACTAAAGATCTCAATTTTTTATCATATCTATTTTCATTCAGTTCACTTATTCAATAAATATTTATTGATCAACTCTACTGTGCTAGGTACTGGATAATACAGTGATGAATAAAATAGAAATTGTGTCTGCCTTCGTAGAGCTGTGGTTATAGCAGTATATTGATTATCTTTGATAGAAAAATCATAGTTATAAAATAGATTAGATGAATTTTTGAGGAATTTACTTCAAAGTTTGATTTTTAAAACTTTTTCTCCTTTGTAAAAATTTTAGTGGCAACTTCAGTAAAATGTGACAGATGAAATATGTTTACCGTTGCTTCCTCACTAAACCCCCTAGTAAAAGTAAAGTAAAGGAGTAAAATAGGTGTGCACTCCAAAGGGAGAGAAGAAAATAGCAACCAGATTTTGGAAGATGGACAGCAGAAATACTAGTTGTAACCAATTTAGCATCCCTGATCACAGCTGAATCCTAAGCCAATAATGTGAGAAGCCCCAAAGCAGGCTAATTTGTACCTCTGACCCCCAAAAAGGCTTAGGAATTGGGGGTACCAGGTATCCCTCAAAGTAGGATACAGGACACAGGAGGATTGGTTGGAAGTCTGTGTCAGAAACAGGTAGCCCCCAGATCCCATGTCTACCCTATTCACACAGGCAGCTGTGCCTTCCTTACCCTCATGGAAGACTGAGAAAGTTAAATAGACAGACTGGATTCAGGGACGTTAGGCACAGCTGAGGCTGAGGACACCATATGGAAACTAGTGGGTGATGTGAAAATTGACACACTGAACTATGGAGCTCCCATGGCCTCTTTCTCCTACCTCACTCTGAGAACGGTGGCTTCCTAGACAGGAGTTTGGAGGATTCCTCTCTGAGAAACTGAGAACAAGAAATCTGCAGATGCTGTTAGTTGGTGGTTTTGCCAATGAACTGGCCCAGCCAGATCTCCCTACAGAGATGCCTGTGACATGACAAGCCCAGCCTACTGCCACAGAAGCCTGTTTGTGATGATGTCATAATTTCTTTTTATATTTTGATTTCAATATAATTAGTTTCCTCTGTCATACTGTGTATTTAAAAACATTATTCTGGAGCCCGCCCTGTGGCTTAGCGGTTAAGTGCGCACACTCCACTACTGGCTGCCTGCGTTCGGATCCTGGGCGCGCACCAGCGCATCGCTTCTCCCGCCATGCTGAGGCCGCGTCCCACATACAGCAACTAGCAGGATGTGCAACTACGACATACAACTGTCTACTGGGGCTTTGGGGAGAAAAAGGGAAAAAAAGGAGGAGGATTGGCAATAGATGTTAGCTCAGGGCCGGTCTTCCTCAGCAAAAAGAGGAGGATTGGCATGGGTGTTAGCTCACGGCTGGTCTTCCTCACACAAAAAAAATAAATAATTAAAAATAAAAACATTATTCTGAGAAGGGGCCCATCTGCTTCAACAGACTGCCACAGGGTCCTTGGCATGTAAAGGACCCCCTGCATGGAGGGGTTTAATGATCACCTTTTCTTCTCTCCATGGAACCATTCATACATTTGCTCATTCACTCCATCAATATTTGTTGAGGGCCTTCTACCTGCTTCACATTAGGCTAGGTTCTGCTAATGCAACAATGAAGAGAATCACTTAATGGATCTTATATTTATGGACAAGCGTGGCTGATCACGTGGCAGACTTTGGCCCTGGGGGACAGCAAAATGTTAGAAACAGAAACAAAAATAAACAAAAATCAAGCATGGGTCAGAGTTGTTGGGTTTTAATACAGTAATATAAATTAGTCAGAAGTGCTGTGTGACTAAATCAGCTAGGTCACTCCTCACAAGAGAGGCTTGTGTTTTCTGCTAGTCGTGTCAGCAGCTGTTCCTCAAGGGAATGAAGGGAGTTCTCATCAGATGCCATAATTTTTGAGCACTTAGTTGTTTAGGTGCAAAAATGAAATATTGGGGTTCAATCTAGTAGAGAAGTAATTTATAGATTCCCTTATTACTCACTGAGTACAGCCTAGCTGTGTTTAACATAGGTGTTATGGCTGTGTGTATAAGCTTTACAGTTTCATCTCTTTTCCCCTTAGACTATCAGCTCATTCTCCCTCTTAGCCGTAGAGGACGTACTGTCATGCTGAGCTTCAAGTTTAACTCTCAGGGCTCGGGTAGGAACTGTCCTCTTCTGAGTCCCCTAAAACTTGACCTACTGGCCCTTTGTTCCCCTGATTCCATCCAGCACCTACCTAGCAAGTTTCCCTGCATAGACCCTTTCCACCTTAAAAATATTCACATCAAACGATTTCTGTTTTGATTGGCTAGCGTTCCTTTTGGTTTCACATGGCAGCCCGACTCACTTATATCAAAATATCTTTCTTGGAATGAGTTTCTTTTTTGTCCATCCCCATTCTACTGCCTTGGTTTCTAATTTAAACTCCAATTTAAGGAGTGTCCTCCTTGGTTTCTAGTTTATACATAGAGATTACCTATCTGTATCTCTAACTGACCTCTCTCCTTTTCAAACTCTTTGTCTTCCTCTTGGACCCCTTTCTATCACCATTTAAACATGCCTAGTCTCTCCTGTCTTAAAATTTTAAAAATGGAGAGATGAATGGATGGGTGGACTGACTGAAAAACTGATAGATAACAAGAAAAACAATTTAGAATCCCATATTGCCTTCCAGCTATTGTCCTGTTGTCCTCCTTTGTCAATATTTGTCTCCACACTCTCTTCAGTTACCCACATGTCCCTCACTGCTTAGTCCACTCCAATTTGGCTTGCACCCCAGCCAGTTGAGTGAAACTGTTCTTTGCCGAAGTCACTATTGACCTCAATTTTAGACACTTTTTAGTCTTCATCTTACTTTACTGCCTGGTCGTGTTGAACTGGAAAGTGCCTCTCACCTTGGCTTCTGTGACACCACACTCCCCTGGCTTTCCTTCTCTCTCTCACTATCTTTTGCAGGCTCTTCCTCTTCTACCTGAGGGTTCCTCACAGTTCAGTCCTACGTTCTCTTCTCTTTTTATGCTACATTCTCTCCCATCATGGTGGTGATTCCCAAATATTTATGGCCAACCCCGACCTCTCTTCTGGGCTTCAGACCCAAACATGCCTATAGTGTATCTCCACTTGAGTCTCTCATAGGCTCCTTAAGCTCCACGTTTCCAAAACTGAACTCGTCTTCGCCCACCCGCATCTGCTTTTCTTTCAGTATACCACAATTTTATGCGTTACAAATTAGCCCTCATTTGGTCTGGGAAATTTGTTTCTACTTAATTTACAGGAATTTACTTTTTATATATGTTTGAAGTTTCTGTTCATGGTGTAATACTCATCTCTCTGTATACTTGTTAATTTAATAACTCAACCAATATTTATTGAGTACCTACTATGTGCCAGGTATTGTGCTAGACCCTAGAGATGCAGTGGTGAATATAACAAATTCCTTGCCTTAATGAGCGTATATTCTATAGGTATTTGTCAAATATTCATATACTTGTTCCTAGATTATAGTTTGCTCAACTAGATTGTATACAGGATAAAATTGATGCTCAACTTGATTGTATACAGGATAAAATTGATTTATTTTAGAAACCTTAAAAATCGTTATATGATAATGAACACTTTACAGATTTCATACTTTTACTGATATGTTCTTTTCTCAACCACAGAATTTGGTAAATCCTTTGAGATTTTGAGAATAAAGAAGACATTTCTAAATATCTGCAGGCTAGTATATGTCCTTCATAGGATTTTTTGAGAGTACAGTTCAGCAAGTATTTGTTGAGTTCTTAGTATGAGTCACACAATCTGCTAGGTATTAGGTATATGATTCTAATGTTGAAGACTTTAAAGACATTTTTTAAAAGGGCATCTGTTCTTACCTATTTATAAACAAATAATGTCAAAATGATACATTCATGTGTTGTTAATTACCCTGTACTTAAATATGGTATATCCATTCTATGTTTTCATAATTTAACACTGAGTGTTTGAAATTTTCACAACAGATTACTAGCATGAATCCTCAGGTAGATACATAAAACTGAAAGAAAAATAACATGCCCGGCATTTAAAACAGAGGTAGCTAAGTTAATTATAACCCACTGCCATGGTAGCTGTACTTAAAAGGAAAAGGCCTATGGATTTGTGAGTATTTTCTCTTTCCAGAAAATAGAAAAATGCAACCTTTTCTCAGTTCAGCTAATGTTATTCACTAATTAATTCTTTGAACACATAAGAGGCATTTTGGTGTAGTAGAATGAACACATACTGAAGTTAGAGGATCTTGTTCGT